AAGAAACAAAATGCCATATGCCAAATTCTAAACCTATGCATGTTGCTAATATTTAATCCTATCTATCCATAATATTGCAATGAATGTGATTATTTTTTAAAGTGTCTGCACAAGAAAAAATTCCTAAGCATAAGTTAATGTCTCCCTTAGCAGGATCCGCCTGACCCTTAAAGGTCTTTTGACTACTTCCGTATGTAAGTTGCAGATGAAATTCGATACAGAAGCCCCAGACTCAGGTAACTCTAGGTGCCTATACTGCTCCTGCTCCTCTGGGGCCCATCAGTACTAGCGTAAGGAACAAGACCAGTTATTGGCATCTAAGGTCATCCTTTTTCATCTCTTCCATTTTGGTTCTAATTTTCCACCAAGTGAAACAATATCACTAGCCATATGATTTCCAGCATTCAAACAAAGCCCCAGATGGAGGTTTTGTTATTAGTTTCCTTAGAATTAGAAAAGTTTTAGAATTTGTCAGGCGAAAAATGACAAACTGTTAAGCATCTGTTTCCCCCTTTTTAAAAAATCCCATTTAGGGCCAGGTGCAGTGGCTCACGCCTGTAATCCTAGCACTCTGGGAGGCCGAGGTGGGAGGTTCACTCAAGGTCAGGAGTTCAAGACCAGCCTGAGCAAGAGTGAGACCCCCGTCTCTACTAAAAATAGAAAGAAATTAGCTGGACAACTAAAAATATATAGAAGAAAAAATCCCATTTAGTATTACATCGGTAATAATATATGTTTGTTTTAGACAAATTGAATCATGCAACAATAAGTAAATAGGGGCATGGGTAGAAAGCTAACATCCGTATGGTTTGAATGTCCCCTCCAAAACTCATGTTGAAATTTAACTGCCATTGTATTAAGAGGTGGGAACTTGAAGAGGTGATGGATTCATGCCACTATTGTGGGAGTGGGCTCCTGATAGAGGATGAAGTCCAGTCAATTTCCTCTGTGTCATGCACTCACTCACCTTCTGCCATGTTATGTTGCAGCTCTAAGTCTTTTGCCAGAAGCCAGAGCTGTGCTCTTGGACTTCTCAGCCTCCAGAACTGTGAGACATAGATTTCTTTTCTTTTAAATTACCCAGTCTGTGGAATTCTGTTATAGCAACACAAAATGGACTAAGACACACCTGAAGGTAACTATTACTATAGTGATGCCTTTATTATAGACATGTCTTATGTATTTTTAATGCATGTGTGTATATCTCTCTACATAGATGGCAGATAGAAAATACCCACATGTATAGTCCTTAGCAAAAATAACATCACAAATATACACTGTTTTGAAACTTATTTTTCTCCCTACAATAAACCACTGGAACATATATTTTAGGTAATATTATAAAACCCCAATACACATGAGGATATTCAGATTTTTTGTGGGAAAGAAACAAAATTCATATGTAAAAATACTAAAGACAAATCCAGAGAAAGTGCCTATGTAAGCTGAGAAAATAAGTTCAGAGTATTATGAAGTTACTTTTCTTTAATTCAAACTTTTTTACTCTGGTAAACTTTGAAAATATGTTACACCATAAATTCTTCATAAGAATATAGCTGGGAAATTCTCCTACTGCCGTGCAGTCTTAAGCTTAAAGTTTGCAAAATCTAGTTTTTGCTTCTTCTTTTTCTTCTTCTTCTTCTTTTTAAAAAGCCTTTTAATTTAACTTATTGACCCCAGTATTTTTGCTACATCCATTGCTAGGATCAAATCATTATACTTTTCAAAAGCGTTCCTTTAACCTGAGGTCAAACGAATGTGAAATATGAGGAAGTTATAAAAAGACTGAAATCTAGAACACCCATAACCCTGATGTACTTTATCCAAATTTTTGTAACTTTGAAGTGCACTGAATACAGAAAGAATGCAGAGCTTTTATTTTTCCAGCCAGAGAAACCACACACAAAAAAAGAATAAAAAAGTATTTCTTTCTCATTTCTGTAGTCAACCTCTCAATCCAAAAAAAGGAAGTGGGGGAGGATCCAAGTCAAACCAACAAAAATAAACTGTTGCCATTGTTTACTAAGAAAATAATTCCTGGAGATATTTTCCCCCAAAGAGCCAAAAAAAAAAAAAAAAAAATCACAAAGAAATCCTTGGCTCAGTTTATTTCCTAGAGGAGAAATTGTTTAACATTTGTTTATTTTGTAAAAAATACCAATAACAAGTGGGCCCAGAAAATTCCTCCTCCCCTTTGTGTGGTGGGAAAGCAGGAGCCAGGCTAGGCTGGGCCTGCAGTTGGAATAGTTTGCTGCCTGGAATTGCCTGATCTTGTCCGACTTCTGTAGGATTCTCAAGGTCCATGAACTGTGTCCCACATGAATAACTCAAAGTCCCAAAGTGAGAGGTTGGATTGGATGCATGGGGTGAGACCAGACAATGGAGGACTTTGAGGTCCAGGCAGTGGAGTTTAGACTTGATTCTCTCTGTGTGGTGGATTGAGTTGATGATGCCAATTGTTCCCTCTTCGCTGCATCCACAGCTTTGTCGTAGGCTCAGTGTGGGTAGAGTATACCTCCTTGTCCCTTGCCTTTGAGCTTGGCCAGTGACTGTGTGTCAGCTACAATTGTAGGCCTTGCCCTGCTGTGTTGCTGCCATCGCTATGAGAAGAGCATGTCTTAGCAAAGCCCATTATGACAAGGAGGTGGCCCCACTGTGAAGCAGAGCTGCCAGCTGCCCCACTTGCAGCAGAGCCCACCACCCGGCCCAGCCAGATTGGCCGAACCTCAGCAGACACATGAATGCATCGGCAATAATAAATATCCACAGTGTTGAGACTCTGAGTTTTGGAATACTCCGTTGTGCTGCATTGTGCAGTAATACAAATTGATACATACTGGGAAGCAAAAAGAATCAATTAAAAAAATACTGTATGGGCCAGGCACAGTGGCTCACGCCTGTAATCCTAGCACTCCGGGAGGCCGAGGCAAGAGGATTGCTTGAGCTCAGGAGTTCAAGACCAGCCTGAGCAACGGCAAGACCCCATCGCTACAAAAAATAGAAAAATTAGCCAGACATGGTGGTGCACGCCTGTAGTCCCAGCTATTAAGGACGCTGAGGAAGGAGGATCTCTTGAGCCTAGGAGTTTGAGGTTGCAGTGAGTTATGATTATGCCATAACACTCTAGCTGGGGCAACAGAGCAAGACCCTGTCTCAAAAAAAAAAAAAATACTGTATGGAGTTTAATGTGTGGCTGCATATAGGATAGACTGAGGTGGGGGGCAGACAGTGCAGTGGTCCAGATGCCAGGTGATGAGCCCATGAACAAGTGGAAGACATTGTGGAGGTGAGAAGGAACAGGAAGAGTAAGGAGATCAACAAAGCACTGGCTGCAAGGATGAGAAAAAAGGCTGAGTCAATGGAAGATGATGCCAAATTTTCATACTTGGGAGACCAAGAAAATGGTGATAAATTCCAGAGATGTTGAAATTTGGACATAATTTTAGGAAAAATACTGAGCTTACTTAGGACATGGTGGGTTTGAAGTGACAGCATATAATCGGATGGCAGTGTGGCATAGTGAGAGAGCACTGGCTTTAAATAGCCCTGGCTGCTGGTTCTGGCTTGGCCTCTTGCAAGGTGTGGGGCTTTTCCAAATAACTTAGTCTCTGAGCCTCAGTAACGCCCCCTGGAACAGCTGTTGAGGGTGATGACCGTGCAGGTGGATGGTGACGTGGACCTGGTTGGGTGTTTGGTCTGCTCAGCATCTCTGCCTTTGGGAAAGGCCCTCCACTGGCTGGTGGGACTGTCATTCACATGACCACCTCCTCTGCCACCATGAGGGACGCCAGCAAGGGCACGTGACCCACCCAGGCAGTCGGAGTCTATGTTATGGAGATGATATGAATATTTGGGGAGAAAGAGTTCTCTTCTTCTGATATAAAGAGGAGTAAGGACACTGCAGGCCCGGTACCGGTCCCATGACACCCCATCCCCGGTCTGTGGAAAAACTGTCTTCCATGAAACCAGTCCCTGATGCCAAAAAGGCTGGGGATTGCTAATCTAGGCTGCTTTGGGGAGAGAGGTTGCCTGGGAATGAAGCTCACACAGAGAAAAGCAAAGACGAGAGATGGAGAAAGAGAGAAAGCGAGAGAGAGTGCCTTGTTGATATTGTTTGAGCCCTTAGATTGAACGGTGACAATCATTGGACTTTTCAGCTACATGAACCAATATGCATATATTTTTAAATTATTTATTTAATTTAGGTTTTAAATTAAGGTAGTTTGTGTTGGGTTTTGGCTCTTAAAACCAAGAGTCCAAATTCAGCAGGTATTCAAGAAACAGTAGCTAAACAACATTAGCTAAACAGTAGCTAAACATTCCAGTGGGGAATGGCCCACTTACAGCTCGTCTGAGGTTACATTCCCTTCTGCCTCCTATAAATGGCTTAAAGCCAAATGGCAGCAGAACAGGTACGGAGAAGTCTGCAGCCTTGGAACAGACGTGGATTCATGGGCCTTTAAAAGACGGGTGAAGAGATTCACACCACCAGATATGAAGACATAGCACAAAGCTGTAGTAATAACAATGTGCTGTTGGCAGAAGAACCAACAAATAAAGCAGTGGAGCAGAATAAACAGCTCAAACACAGATCTGTTGACATGTTGTGGACAACACCACCAACCTGAAGGGAAGGACAGATTACGTACTAGGTGGTGCTAGGAAAACTGGTTTACTCTATGGAGGAAAATAAACACTAGATACAAAGGTCAATTTTAGATAATCCAAAATTTAAATGTGAACGTAAAAATATAAAACCAATAGGAAAAAATGTTCAATAACTTTGTCATCTTTTTTTTCCTTAATTTGTTTATTGTAAGATAATTTACAAATATCATGCTATCTTCAGTAATTCAAACAATGGAGCAACAACTTCTTCTGACAAAACAGCGGTACATTAAAAACCAATCAGCTGGCTGAATTTTCCTTCTTTACCTCTTATCTGAGGATGGAACTTGATTTTCATGAATCCAGAGCTGCAGCACCAGAGATAATTTCAATCAACTCTTTTGTGATGACAGTTTGGTGGTGTGGTTGAATGTCAAAGTCAATTTATCAATCATCTCAGAAGCGTTCTTGTTGGTGTTGTCCATGGCTGTCATCCTAGCACTCTGTTCACTGGTGGTAGACTCCTTCAAAGAGTAGTAGATGATGTTAGCCAGATTGTATTCTTGGTAATTCTGCAGCGCATCGACACCAATATCATTGTAGATACTCACACTCTCAGCACTTGCAATGGTATTAAGGGAGAAGATGGGTTTTTCTTCTGTCTTATAGGAGATGACAGACCTGAACCGATTAAAGATGATAGAGCCTTCATCAAACTCATATCCAGAATTTAGTAACTCAAGGGCAATGACTGACGCATCTCCGAAAGTTGAGGGCTTTCTTCCCACTTCTTTGAATGTCACCAGAAACTGGTCAGAATGAGTCCTATGAAGTATGTCCCTGATTTTATCACGAATTCCAACAATCATAACTTCTTTCCCGGCCGCTGTGAGCATAGCCACCTCACTTTTCATCTGCTTAGCAACTGAGGAATGGATAGCACCACAGAGCCCTCTATCTGAGGACACACCAATAAGGAGGTGCTTCTTCTTGTCTTCGGGCGCCTTAATATCAGCTTTTTCATACAGAGCCAAAGATCCTATTCTGTACACTCGAGCTGGTTTCAGCTCCCTCTCAGCTCGGGCGTATTTTGCTGCTGCTACCATTTTCATACACTTGGTAATTTTCTGGATGTTTTTGATGGACTTTAGTCACCTGGTAATATCTTTCAAAGTTGCCATATTTCGAACTTGGACCCATTACGGCTGCAAGGCCCAGGCCGAAACCCCCTGTGACACCTGCCCGAGAGAACATGGTGGTAGGAGCCCCGCTGAAGGTCACTCCTAACTTTGTCATCTTGAGGTTGGGAAGAATTTCTTACATACATTCTAAAGGCATAAGCTATGAGGCAAAAATTCGACGGATTTGAACCTATCGAGGTTAAGTTGTTCTGGTCAACAAAGGACACCATAGACAGAGTGGGAGAAGATAGCCGTATGACAAAATCCAGTAAGGAATTCTATCTAGAACAGAGGCCAGCAAACCATGCCCCATGGGCCAAGCCAGCTCTGCTATCTGCTTTTGTAAGTAAAATCAAAGTTCTATTGGATCACAGCCCTACCCATTCATTTTGTATTGTCTATGACTGTTTTCATGCTACAGAGCTGAGTTGGGGCAGCAGAAAATATCTGGTGTACAAGGCCTAAAATATCCACTATCTGGACCTTTACAGGAAAAGCTTATCAGTACCTTATCTAGACTATACAAGGAAACCCTAGAATACAAGGAAAATGTCTGGGCCAAGGATATAAAAAGAAAAATATGAAGAAATGTTTAACCTCACTATTTGTAAGAGAAATGCAAATTATATAAAACAATGAAATACCACCTTACACCCACAACATAGGAAAAATTAGAAAGTCACATGATAGCAATTGTTAACAAGGTTGTAGGGAAATGGATATTATTATGTACTGCAGGTGGGAGTGCAGACTCTGTAGCCTTCTGGAGAACAGCCTAGAAGATCTCAGTAAAATTCATGTGTGTACACCCCATGACCCAGCAAGCCCACCCCTGGGTGTAACACTGAGAAACTTATACCCAGCTCTGAAAGAGAACATGAACAAGGATGTTCATCCTGGCAGTCTGTGGTAGCCGGCTGCTAGCGCCAGCCCAGCAAGGTGAGGTGGAGGAAAAGATAAACAAAGCATCGCTGGTGCTCGCGGACAGGGCCAGGCAGCAGTTAGCCATGAACTAGAGGTACATACGGCTGTGTGGGTAGACCTAAACATACCGGGGAGGAGAAAAGACAGAGACAGAATGAGGTCCCTAGCCCAACACTGTGTGTGTCTATCTATGTATCTATCTATACACACAGACACATAATACATACACAAAACAATTCTATGTGCTCTTCAAAATTCTGTATGTGTCCAAGAACATACACCAAAGACATTACAGGGGATGGGGTAGAGTGGAAATGGAAAGAGAAATTAAGAGAAAATTAAAGTAAAAGAAGAGAAGGGCCTCATGTACACAGATGATAATGGAATGAGCTGAGCTCTGTGAACCTGAGGTCCACACGTGCGGCTATGAGCCCGAGGATCAGAGGAAGTGCCAGTGGCTTCTGGACTGGAATAGAACTTGGCAAATAGATGGGGCTAGAGATGAGGATCTGAGAGTTCTCTGCAGAGTGCTGGCCCTGGAGCCCCGACGCGAGGGCATGTTCACAGGCACACGTGTAGCTTGACTGGCTCTTCTCTTGCGGGGGATCCCGTTTGCACCGGGTACTGTTTTATGGCCTCTGCGCTCCAGATCACCCTTCCTTGCCCCGCTACGTGACACTGGAGCTGGATCCAGTAAACGTGCCTCCTTTGCCACCTGCCACAGTGTTAGGTTTTGTCAGTAGCAGGCCCTGGAGAGCCCCTGCAGGTGGTGAGGGCTTTCTCCCTGGTCCCAGTGTTTTTCCTCTTGGTGCCGCAGCACAGTAGCCAGGGAGAGACCCAGGGACACAAACCCTCCAGGAAGTTTCACTGTCACCCAGAGGGTGGCCTTCAGAGAGTTTCACCAGCACCCAGTGGGTGGTTTTCCGCTTGCCAGTGTGGCCTGCAGCACCTCAGCAAAGTCCTGCCCCAGCTGCGGCCACTTCACTTAATCAGTGTGTCCTTCCTCGCAGCCTTGGAGGCACCGTCTTCCACATTTGTCTTCCTTGAGTGTTTGGCCTCAGCCCTAGAGGTGGCGGTTTCTCCTACGTCTGCTATTCCTGTATTGTGTTTTGTTTTGTTCTTAATCGAAGATCCCTTACTGGACCTGCCCCCATGAGTGGTCATGATGGGGGGCTGGGGGGTGTGGGGGGGAGGGGGAGGGACCAGCGGCATGGGGAGGGCTCATCTTCACAACACTCCATTTACACACAGAACCGAACGGACAAGCATAGTGTCACTGTCACGGTTAGAAGTTGGCAGCATGAGATGGGGAGGAAGGGGGGAATCGGGGTGTCACTAAAAAAAACACAGTCTCCCCCCAAACTGGGGTGCCCGGTGGGAACTTGGTCTGCTTCAATCCAAGAGGAATCAAAAGATCAAAAGTGGTTTGGGAAGGCCAGACAGTTGGGGATGGAGGAAGGAGGAAGGTCCAGGGTAGAGGCCCTATTTGACAACTGGGTGAAGGGGTTGTCCTCCCCCACTGGGATCCCCCAGCCCCTTCAGTCTGGGAGGAAAGGGCGGCCTGCATTCCCCCATCCAAGTCTGGGGCTGCCAAATGCTCCAGGCAGGGGGCCAGAGGGGCTCCAAAGGCCTGCCCTCGAGGAATGACGGCGCTGTCCCCAGCTTCTCTTAGCAGTTTGCTTGTGATTCATGCTTGAGCCTCATCAGCATCTCCTTGATGATGTCCTTGGAGCTGGCAGAGGTCATTTTGCTCTTAAGGGGTACAGACTCAGGGGCCCAGAAGGTAAACAGCAGGTCCTTCTCCTTGCTCTCCTTGGTCTCACAGGTTGGTCACAGAGGGCAGCCTTGTCTGGCAGCATCTTAACAGAGGCGGCATAGGGTCATCGACAGTCTGGTCCGCACTGCCCACCGGGATCTCTGTGCCCTCTCCAGGATGATGTTCTTGTCACCATTCAGGCAGAACAGCACTATCTTCTCCCACTTCTTCACCTCCTCTGACATCAACAATTTGTGCACCTTCGTGTCATCAGACACCTTCACGTTGCCATCAGAGACAGCTGCACCAGAGGCCACGTTTCTGGATGTGAAAGGGAGACGTGAGCCACTGCAGCTGCCACTGGATCCTCTATTCCTGCATTTTTAGGGTTCTCTTTACTCCTCTTAGTAGTTATCACAACTACTAAGAGGTTCATTTTATGTGTCAACTTGACTGCGACAGGGTGCCCAGATATTTGGCCAGATTTTTTTCTGGTGCATCTGTGAGGGTGTTTCTGGGTGAGATTAACATGTGAATCAGAAGACTGAGATCAGATCACCCTCCCTAATGTGGGTGGGCCTCTTCTGGTTAGCTGGAGGCCTGAAGAAAACAAAAAGGCTGACTCTCCCCCAACTAAAGGGGAATTCTTCCTGCCTTCAGCTCAAAGGGAAACATCAAAACATCTGCTCTTCCAGGGTCTGGAGCCTGCTGGCCTTCGGACTGGAACTATACCATCACATCTCCTATCACCAGATTGGGACTTGCCAGCCTCCATAACCTCATGAGCCAATTTCTTGTAATAAATCTCTTTCTAATCTACATATAATACATAATAGTATGTATATATACACAGATAACCCTTCATAAATATATGGTTATATGTAATATATAGATATATCCTATTGGTTCTATTTCTCTGGAAAATCCAGACTAACACAGTGGTTAATTCTCTTTTCACTAATTTAATAATTCTTTATATAAATTTTCCCTGTTGAAACTGCTGGTGTGGTTTCTTCTCCTGACTGGGCCCTGACTGCCACACCATCCTCACAGTAAAACAACAAGCGACAGCACAAAACGAACCTTCCCTCTCTTTCTTACCCTTCACAGCTGACACGTATTGCCTCCCTTTTCTCATCTCAACTCACTGCATCAACTCTCCCCATTGAATCTGACATTTCATCGGCAAATTCCTAATCGTCCAAAAAGGCACCTTACATAATTTTCTTTCTTACTTACCTCCTTCTGAAAACATCTTTCTCCCCGGTTTCCCCACAACGTTTCAGGCCATTCCTTTGGAAGCCAATATCATTCCTATACAGTAGCAAGACGAAGAATTTTGGAGTTAGGCAAAACCGTACCGAAACCCTTGCTCTGACATTTATACGCGGTGTTACCTTGACCTTTGTGAGCCTTGGTCTGCCTTCTCATCTGTAGATTTGGAATAGTAACAGTAACACCTAGCGTGCAGGGTTGTTTTAAAGAACAAATACGGTAATTTGTGTAAAGCGTCAAAGCCTAGAGCCTGGCAAACAGTAGGTGCTCAATTAAAGTTAGCTGCTGTGTTCTCCTGAGGGCCCTCGTCCACCCCTGAGCAGGTGTCGGTGACGCTACGCTCCTTCTTCTCCCTCTACGCACTTTCCTGAGCAACCTTAGCACACTGGGGCTTTAACTACCACCTACTGACACAGGCACGACTCTGGAGTCTCGACCTTCCTCCTAGACTTCGCGTCTAACCCAGATTGACGTCTAATGTCGCCTGAGCCCCTATCATACCCCAGAACCCCTTTGTGAACCCTACAACCTTCAGGAGTTCCTTGCCTGTGTCTCCGTGTATTTCGGCCACAGCGGACCGGACTAGAGACGGGAGCCGGGTCAGGAGCCGCCATCTTAGGCCGTGGTGCAAAGGCTCCGCCCACGCGGGGGGGCGGGCTGTGCTGACACACGACACGGAAGACCCGGCCAGACCCTCTCTGAATGTGACAGGGGAGAAACTCAGTATCAGCAGCCAGAACTGAAAGAAAACAAGAAAATCCAGTACGTAGCTCCCTCGTGGCTGTGAAACCTAGGGGTAAGCAGTAACAGTGAGGAGAAGCAGAAATAGTCACAGTAGAAGCAGAGATGTAGGGAAGCTCTGTGACACGCGTGCTGGAGTCCTAGAGCCGGTAGCAAAGGACACCTGACACTGGACTTCGGGAGTTCCTGGGAGTCACTGCTTGTCATGGAGAACATT